TTCTTTTAGTAAATCTACAAAACCACATATAGAGTGATAACCAAGAAATTAGAACAAGTAAAACATTTGACCAAAAAAGTTTACGCAAATTCAGGAACGGAAGCTAAACGCACCTTAATATCCGGAACTGGTACGTAAATCTGTCTGTCAAAACGTCCAGGTCGTAACAAAGCGGGATCCAAGATATCTACTCGATTCGTAGCAGCTATCACAATCACAGACGACTCCTCGGTAGAAAAACCTGGATTCCGAATTTTACGTTCTAAAGGTAATTCAAAGAAAAAAGTGCCAACCATCCATTTCCACAAGCAACTGATTCAAGGTATTCTCCTGTTCGGAATGTCCTCCCATTCCTCCTCTGCCACCTCTCTTACGACCAACAGCATCAATTTCGTCAATGAAAAGGATGCACGGGCTGTTCTTTCTTGCCATTGCGAACATGTCACGAACTCGAGCTGGGCCAACACCAACGAACATCTACAGATTGCTTCTTGCATTTGATTTCAAAGATGTAAAAGCATAGAACCAACTTCAAGGAACTCAGAGCCGGACACAGTTATGAATGGCACATTAGCTTCACCCGCAGTTGCTTTTGCAAGGAGAGTCTTACCGGTACCAGGCGGACCAGTCAATATTGCACCCTACAAGTATAAGCGATTTATAAAAAAAAGTGCGACTGAAAATCTTTTCTTACTTTGGGAATTTTCGCACCCAGATCCTTGTACTGTTGAGGATTTTTGAGGAAATTCACAAACTCCATAATTTCTATTTTAGCTTCTTCACAACCAGCAACATCTTTGAAGGCGACCTGAAACAAAAAGTTAACTTGCTGCATTATTGGAAAGACTCTGAAACAAACCTTTATATCCTCTTTGTTTATTATCCTTGCCGTACTTTGTCCAAAACCGCCGAACATACCACCCAAACCGCCTCCTCCGCCTGCTCGAGTAGCACCTGGAAGTAACTGAAAATTCGCGAAAGCAAGACCGAAAGGAAGGAAAAGCATTTGAAAAGCCATGATAAGAGTAGAAGAGAAAGCGGTATGAAGCAGAAGAACTCACCTCCAGCTCCGCCACCCTTCAGCATTCGGTAGATGTAATATCCGAATAAAAGAGGGAAGGCAATGCTGATGATATTAGGTATCTCCCTCTTGCTGAAACAGTATTACATAGTGAAAAATGCTGGCTGGTGGGCAACAGGAACGATAGCTGGTGGCTGTCAATAATCAGCGTATTTTCTACCCTTTTTTGTCCATCGCACTCAAAATTTCCGAGAAATCCCGTCTTTTATGCTTTCTA